TAATATTTTTAATATTTTTAATATTTTTAATATTTTTAATATTTTTAATATTTTTAATATTTTTAATATTTTTAATATTTTTAATAACTGATATGATAACTGATAAGAAATATATATATATATATATATATATATAATGTTTATATATATTTATATTTATATGCGTATTTATTAACGTTATTTATTTTTTTTAAAATTTATCTTTTTATTATTAAATTTAATGGTTTAAATAATAGGATTAATTAAATTCTGTGAAATTGTACAGTATAAAAATTTAGTGTAAATCAGTAAATCAGCTAATTCAGTTAACGTCAAAATCCAGAAAATCCAGAAAATCCAATTAATTCTATTTAAAGTTCTAGAAAAATCTAAAATGAAAGTTCTTTCAAACAGTGATATATAAACGTGTATAACATTTTTTATTGTAAATATAAATAATCGAACAAAATGTCTCCGCGAACGTTGCACGACAAAAATCTCGCGAATGTTGCACGAAGTCTCGCGGGCCACGTCACACGAAGATCTCGCGAGCTGGAGTATTGTACAAAGGATGATCTGTTTTGTTTTAATTTCAAATTTTACTATATTATATCAATTAATTTATTTAATTTTATTAATTTAGCTATATGGTATCAATTTATAAACTTAAAATTTATTATGTTTCAAGATATATAAAGAAATATATTATATTATTATATATATTATTATATATATTATATTATTATATTATTAAATTATAGATATTATAAACTTTTTTGAATTTTATATCGGCTAATATTGAAACAGTATTTTTTATTTTTTTTTAATTTGAAAAATTTAAGCTCGTGCATTTAGTCATTATATAATTAATTATTAATTATTAATTATTATACGTATAGTCATTAGCTAAATTTATTACCGATACCTGTTTACGTAGCAGATATTTTTGTATTACACTACTATTAAGCATATTAAGCATATAGATTTGAAATTTAAAAAAAAATTTTTTTAGACTTGTACATTTAATTAATTTAATTATTAATAATTAATTATATACTGTAGATAACTGTAGATAGTCATTAACTAATTTCATACACACGAGTCTGCTTCCAACGATAAAGAAATTGCCCGATACCTGTTTAGCAGAGGTACTTTATATTACATTACTATTAACGTTAATCATGAAATTTTTTTTTTTAAAAAAGAAAAAAAATGCAGCTGTGGTCTGTACAGTTTGCACAGGCGCATTATAATCACATTCATGTGTAATTAATTAAATTAATTAATTACTGTAATGAACGGCAATTATTAATCGATTAATTAACGTTAACGTTAACGTTAATTAATACTAATTAATGTTAATTAATTAATTAGTGAATTCGAAATGATTTCGAATTTATTTCGAAATGAAATTCTAATGATTACAAAATGAAATAATTTCTAATTATTATTACAAAATGAAATAAATTCTAATGATTATTACAAAATGAAATAAATTCTAATGATTATTAGAAATTCATTTTGTAATAATAGAAATTCACTTTTCCTTGTGATACAATTTAAAAGAATTACCCATGTATGCTCGTGTGATTTATTCAATTTTTTATCGAAAATTTTAGAGGTTCCTATTAATGGGAATGCATAAATGCTTTATGTTTCGTCCAGTAAAAATCTTTGCATTTCGATCTTGAGTTGTATTGTACATGATTCAATTTTAACAATAATACATCTACACAATGTACGATGCGCCCTCCTTTATCTTACTTGTTACGGTGCGCTTATTCTTGCATATTTTTTGACGGGGGTTATTGCTTAAATTCGGTCGCATACCGTGACATCATGTTCGTATGTACTCGGAAATTAAAAAGTGGCAATTCCGAGGAGCTGGCGCGTACAATATATCGCTCTAAATGGATGTCGGTAAGTATTACAAAACCTTGAAGAAAATTCTAAGGTGCCCTTAAAAAAAAAAACATACTTGTGATAAATATATATGTAGAGAGACAAACAGGCTTTCATTTAACCAATTATGGAAAATACGGCTGCTTCTATTGTTTGTTGATCAGTAATTCAATTATTTGTATCTAAAATTCTGTATATATAAGGTTGATTAAGTCAATTCGAATTTTTTTGCGTACTCTTTTACGTTTTGTCCATTTTCTACGTATAAAAACTAAACTGGTTTTACAATAGATTATATATAAATATTATCTGATTTGTAAATATATTTTTACTCTCCTTTACAGATTAAAAGTAAGTACTCGAAAATTTCAAAAAAAAAAAAAAAAAAAAAAAAAAAGAAAACCTCAAGAAAATTTTTTTTTTTTTTTTTTTTTTTCATTTCATTGCTAATCTTTTATTTTTTATTATAATTTTTTTTTACTAATAGATACGAATTTTCTTTAAATTTCTTTTTGTTTCATTCTTTATCTCTCTCTCAAATGGATTCAAACAAGAACAGTAACAACATCTCTCCTGATTACATTGAAATAGTAGGCGGATCTTACATGCAACACCAACGTCCTTTAAATTCCTTACCAACACCTCCAATCATTACCACCGCCTTCAACAATGGAGCAAACGGTAATGGTGCTGGTGGTACCATCACCCCTCCACCTGATTCAAGCCGCTCTTCTGGTGCTCAACCTTTGCGAATTGCTCCAGCTCAGTATTCAAACATAATTCCAGCTAATTATGTAAATATATCAAATAATAATTTGGCCGGATTGTCCGGATTTCCAATTCAAAGTATTGCTGCTCAATGTTGTTTGCCAAACCAACAACAATATTTTGCTAACGATGTTAGTAACCAAAATAAAATTATTTCGGTTTCTAAACCAAATATTCAGGCTAATGCGCCTCGTGACGCAAATAGTTCTGCACGTCCTCCATCATTACATCAACAAGAAAGACCTGAATCCATTGTTTTCTTGTATCAAATTCCAAATGATTCAAAAATTTATCTTGTTAAATGTGTTGAAGTCTCACAACTTTTAGACACTGATTATCATTCGTTGGAAGGAATCTTGCACAACAGATCTCAACCGCAGCAACAAGTACAACAAAATTTAAAAAATCATTTACAACAACATTTACAAAATCGTTTACAACCACAACAATCCCAACCATCTCAAAACCTCGCACTTTATCAACAACAACAACAGATTACTCTTCAACAAAACCAAATTAGACATCACCCTTATCAACAACGTCAATCACCAAAAGAAACCGTTCATAATACTCTTGGAGGAGGAAAAAATGTTAAAGTACCAGTTTCTAACAACTTTCAAGCCAACGTCAATAATCAAGAAATAACACAATTTAACGTTGATATGAATAACGCAGGAAACTTTGATATGGCAATGATCCCAATGGCCGCTACACCTGGCGCCCCCTACATGGTTACACCATCAGCCACCCCTACAATGAGAAACGATCATATTGGAAATAATGTAGAATTCAGTGTCACAAGTTTATTGACGCAACAACAACAACAGATGATGAACGGAATGCTCACTGCTGCTACCATTTCGACGCAACAACAACAACAAGTGTTTGATGCTCAATTTAAAAAATAAATACTTAATATAAAATATAATACCATTTCTTTTAAAACATTTTGATTTTTTTTAAAAAAAAAAAAAAAAAAAAAAAAAAAAATTAAAAAGAAAATTTTTTAAAAATTAATTTTTTTTTATATTGCATCCATTTTCGCCATAATTAGAATTGGATGCATCTTATGTAAATCTTATTTTAATTATCTTATTTTAATTATGCGTATACACGAGTCTTAATCCATTTCCCTTATGCTAAATTGCAAGTCTTTACCAAAAAATTTTCTGTTGCTTTTTTTTTTCACGTGTAGCTAGTTTAATTATGCACAATAAGCCTTTTTTCTTTTTTTTTTATGCCTTGTGGGTATGAGATGTTCATAAGTTCCTTGGTCCTTCTAATTCTTTTGTGGGATTATTTTTGTGGGATTATTTTTCCGTCTTCCTTTTTTAATTTTTTTTTTTGTGTTCTACTTTCTAGCGAAAAAAAAAAAAACCAAAAAAAAAAACATTGTACTTACTGGTATTATACTTTATAGAAATGGTATCACAACCCCACTCATCTGGTTTTATATTCTTATTTCACTCTCTTTAGTTTTTCCTCTTTAGTCTTTCCTCTTTAGTTTTTCCTCTTTAGTTTTTCCTCTTTAGTTACTCTTTAGTTACTCTTAGTTACTCTTTAGTTTTTCACCTTACTCTTTATTTTTTCTCCTTTTATTTTTCACTCTTTATTTTCAGTCTTTTTTTTTTCTTTCTTTCTTTCTTTTTGATTTTATATTAGGGACATTTTTTTTCTTTCTTTCAAACTTGAGTATATACGGACATTGTGGGTAATATCTCCATTACTATTTGTAGAAAACTCGAAATAGGGATATATATATATCTCGTTAAAAGTTATGAATCAACCAAAGAAAAATCCAAGAGTTTTGATTCCAAAAGGAATCTTGAAGCTCTTGTAAATATGGTACACCTTATGGTATGCCTTTTTTTTTTTTTATAAGCAATTTTTTTTTTTTTTATTAAAAAAAAAAAATATATACAAAAAAAAAAAAGAGATCTTTTTACAAAGATCTCATTTCTATTTTTTTTCTTTTCTTTTATTTCTTTCTGGGGGACAAATGGTTTTTGTTTTTTTTTTTCTTTTTCGAGAAAAATACGTAATAAAGATTTTTCTCTTTATATGGTCTGTAGTCATAATTTAATCGGGCCTTATGAATGTTTTAGAAAATTGATATTTTGTATTTTTTTCAGCTAATTTCATTTATTCGAGTATTGCCTATTCTTATTTTTCTCATTTATGTAATGGATGTATATATATATATGTAAATATTTTTTTTCTTTATAAATCTGTCTATATCGTAAATTTTTTTATCGCGTTGTTTCGTGTGTATCTCGTGTGTGTGTGTGTGTGTGTGTTTCGTGTACGTATAACCGTGTTTTTTTTTTAAAGTTATTTTTTAAGTATCAAAGTTTTTATTATTAAGTTAATAAGCCAATGAACGGACACGTTTGGACAAAATTATGCCAAATTTAATTAAAAAATACTTAGCACCTAATTTTATATACAGCAAATAAAGCAAGGGATGCCCCCCAGGGCGGCCATCAATTTTGCATTAACTTAATTTAGGCCAATGATCTTAAAATTTATAATTTGACCGAAATTTTTTTGAGCTTTTTGAATTCAAAAAGCAAAATTGGTCCGGGAATATTTTTACTTAATAGGGCGACTGTGGTTTCATTAGTATTATTTTGATTGGCTGCGCCACTGCAAAAGTGATGGCCGCCCTGGGGGACTCTGCGTATAACGATAATATCGATGATACGTATCGATAATATCGATAATTACGATAATTACGATAATTACGATAATAACGATAATAACGTATAACTGATAACTGTTTAAAGTAATTGATATTATACTTACGTAACAAGATTAACCAATGGCGAATTTCTGTACGTATTAATATCGATATCCAAAATTTATCCATATAATCACCACCTTACATAACTAAATGCTTTATTATAATGTATAAAATCCTTGGATTTGGTCATTGGATTGTCATATAAAGCCTTGGACATCAAGATTACACCACTGCAGAAACAGGCTTGATTGCAGTGAAAATAATCCGCGACAAATACGATACATAGTTAGGCTTCTAAATGCAAGCACCAAGTTTATCCTCTCTAAATTAAACTCTATAAATGCAAAATTCTCGCATACATTATCGTTTCAACATGTTGCATTTTTAGATGTTTTTGCTATGTTGATATCACCAATTTTCAATCAAAAAAATGTGTATCTGAGACGCGGATAAAGCAAAAAAATGTAAAGTATCGAACGACTGTTGTATTAAACACGCTCTTCCAAATGTCATCAAACATTGATAAACATTGATAGAGTTGGTCTACATACATTTGTACTACCTTATTAATCTTATTAATACGCTAGCGTCCGGATATGTCCGTACTTCTATGTTAACCAATCAGATTATTAATGTATACAGATGCCCCCTGATTTATCAAGATCGATACTTTTGAGGTTTTTCCCAAACTTTACTAAACTTGGTTCGAATCGACAAATATAACTTGATGTCATAGATCCTTTTGATTTTGATTGAAAGTTTTACATTGTTATAACTAGCATATTCAATTAACTCTAATTAAAATGTAGTCTTTGTTTTCGCTTTTGAGGTGAGAAGAACCTGAAACCTTTTACGTATTATCTTTAAAAATGCATATAATTACCGTAAAAATTCGTAATCATGATTATCCCACATTTCGAACTCTTTAAGCCCGTGGTTCTGTTGCATGGAATTTGGGGTTTTTTATGCTTTATACAGGAATCTTAGTATTAAGCAATATAATAACTATACTTGATATTATTAAAGTTGCATATATCCGGGTCCCTTACATTCCTTGACTTAAATTATAGATCCGAATTTAATTCATGGTGAGTACTATTATTGGTATTATTAGGGAATATTGTATAGTCTTTTATGGTAGTCCTATGTTTTCATCTATATGAACTATATGAACTTATAGCTGACTACAATTACTACTAAAGAGTATCGTATATTTAATTCTATAAAGTAATTTCTCGTCTCGTTTATTTTCTAAAGCAAAAATAAAAAGAAAAATAAAAAAATTATATATTATTTTTTGAGTTTTCAAAATGGTTAATCCGAATATTTTATATATTTTATATATTTTATTCAATTTAATGTAATCACAATACCTCTTCACCGTTTATAATTGATAATTTTAAGCCCACTATCACGTAATCTGAAAATTTTCCATCTGTTTCGAAAGCTGCAAGAATAAAAAAACTTTTTTTTGATAAAAACAATATTATAAACTTAAAAAACAGAAAATAAAATAAAAATTAAATAGAATCGGATTTTCGAAAACTGCACCGATAAATCATACGCAATTATAGTGATCATCAATTTTAAATAATACATGGGCATTTTTAGCATGATATAAACTTTCGCAACATGTAAGGAAAAAAGTACATTGTATATATATTAACAAATAAAAACGACCAAAAATTGGGATTCTGGCAATCTATAAAGTCTGTAATAAAGTTTTTATTAACATTCGGGTACATATATTTTTATCAATAAAACAATACTTTGCCAAATTGATTCTAAATTTGAAATGTTATTCGGGGGTTGCTTTTTATTCGGTAACATATGGCGTTTAAGTTAATTATATAATTTATACATATTAGAATTTTGGCTTTAGCATTTATTTATTTTTTTTCGTATCCTTTTAAAATCTTGAATTTTTTATATGTAGCCGTAGATTTATAGTGTAGTGATAAGTTTGACTAATAGCAAAGCATACTTGATTAGATAGCTTTTGTTATTATACATATTTACTGTAAAATCTAATATTACATAATACATTATAGTATACTGCATTAAATAATATATGTATTAATACATATATTTATAAAAAAATTCTATGCTTATACAATAAAATATAGCATATATTGTATAAAAAAATATGCATACATTACTGGCGGTGACTATAACAAGTTAGAATTAGAGTTATAATAGAATTTAGTTTATAGTAAAATAAGATAAAAAATATTTTTTGTCAAATACTAAAATTAAATATTATATATTATAGTTTTTATATATAGATCTTCCTATTTATTCTAACTTTACTATATTAATATAGCAAAAAAAAAATTTTTATACAATATACAGTATCTGATATAATATTTTATTTTATTAATTTTTTTTAACCTATTTTTTAAAAAACATATATAGTCAAAATTGTATCAAAAACTCATAATACTTTTTTTATAAAGAGTTGTATTATATATTTATAATAACTTGTTTTAAAATAAATATGCTTATAAAAAGAACTTTTATATAATATACTTATATAAAGAATGACTATAAAGAAGTTTAACTATATTATAATAAAGTTATAAATATTAATTTTTTAAATTTATATTAAATATTTTTTATTATTAATTTTTTAGTTATAAAATAATATTAAATTTATTTATTTGTTATACAAATTATAATTTATTTATAAACCAAAAATATTTTTAATAATATTTTATATATAAAATAAAATTTTTAAAAAATTTATTAATATAGTTTTTAAGTAAAAAATATATTAATTTTTAATATAATATATACTATATATACTTATATAATAAGTTAGTAATTTTTATAACTAACAAATTTTTAATTAATATTATATTAAAATTAAAACTTAAAAGACTATTTTTTATATTTATATATAATTAAAATTTAAAATTTTAAAATTTTTTTTAATTTAAAATACTATAAATATATAGTAGTATTATTTTTATTATATAAATTAAATTAAATTAATGTTTTATTTTTTGTTATAATTTTTTTTATATACTATATAATAATTTTAGAATTTTCTTTAGTATAGCTAAGCAATATAAAATATTATAAGATTGTAATATAAAAAAACTCCAACTCTAACTCTAAACTAACTTTAATATAAACTATAAACCTTACTCTAACTCTGAATTT